GTGAGGCCCTTGATGGCGATCTCTCCATGGGATTTCACTCTTGCTATTCCAGCGAGATCGACAAGTGCATGTCCTGTACCGGATACTGGAACTGCTTGACGGTTCATTCCAAAAGCCTTGAATGTGATCTTGTCACATTGAGGTGTGTGCTTGATGGTCATGTGCAGGTTCCGCATGTGACCGATGCTAAGGAGGATCGGTACAGTGCCTTGTTCAAGGATGTCGATGTTGGTGCTGCATGGAGGTGCCGTATGATACCTGAGGTGCAAGGTCCAGTTTACCTTGGCTGTCTCTCCATTTGCAAAAGTGAACTTGGTCTTGGCCGGGATGTACGAGTAGGAGATGAGGTCTTTCATGGGTTCGATAGCCTGAGTAAAACGCTGGATTGCATGCCAGCTGCCCATGGATCTGGTACATCCGTTGTCCAGGATCGCATGGGTCGGATTGTGCTGTGGGTTGATGACAGGCGCCATCAGCTTTGTAGGCTTTGTTTTGCCGTCGCTGTCATTGACTGCTCTGAAACTGTATCGGCTTGGATCAGCTTCTCATGGATGGCGTCCTTCTCATGCTGCTCATATGCGTCATGGAACGCCATCATCGCTTGTCCTGTGCTGGATGTCTCATGGGATGAGTACCAGCCTTGTTCACTCCAATTCCAAGATGGGTCCCAATCTTGATCTGTCGGCTGCGAACGTTTTGGATTTTCCTTTTTCTTGTCCGCCTTTTCCTTTGCCATTGTCGTAGGATGGATAACCTTTGTTTCCATCATAGGGATATTGGAATTTTGTTCCTCCTTTCTTTCCCTTCTTTCCTTTGCCTTTTCCCCAGTATGCCTGGTCGTAGGGATCCTGATATTCATTGGCCATATTGGCCTTCCCGCCAGAGCTACCTTTTTCGAAAGGGTTTGAAGCCACCTCGTTGGCGACTGCCCTTTTTGCTTGTTGATTTTCCTTTTCCTTTTCTCTTCTTGAATCCGAAATTCCGCCAAGACACCTTTCTCGCAATGAACGCATCGTTCTCCTCCAGTACCCAAAGTGTCTCTTCATCGTTGGCTGACATGAAACCTTCCAGTCCTTCTTCGTCTTCCACCCAGAAGCCTTCTTCACCTTCGTATTCTCCTTGTGATTTCCTCCGGAAGGTCGGATGGATGGATCTTGAACGGATGTCCTGGTCGTGATGAAGAGGTCGCGGTACTGCGTTTTCATCATCTCGTAGGTGTAATTCTCAAGCGAGATGTTTCTCAATGACATTGCACTGATCAGCCTTTCTCTCTGATCTGACAACTCACTCTGGATTATGAAAAATTGTGCAGCGAGGTTGTCGCTGAGGAGACATGCGTCCCTGTGCCTTGTCTGCATGCCGGTGAGGTACTGCCTGAGTACTTCTGGATTGTCTACTTGCAGCAGATCTGGAGGCGGTGTACGTGTACCAGCTGCTTGCTGGTGCGCGGCAATTTTTCTTGCATTGGCATCTTGTACTGATGCTAGGAACTCTGGTGACTGTGCCGTGTGGGCATCAAGTCCATCCAGGCTGCTTTCAATCCCATCAAAAGAATTTCAAATCTTGTGTGAATATGAGGAACTCGGTGTTCTGCCTTCTGTGATTGAAGAAACTGATACCTTTCAGGAAGAATTTCTTCAGCGTGTTCTTGAAATAGTTGACTCCTTCGTCAGGATCTTGCAAAAGGTCATTCTGGAGGACTGTGAGCGTCTCCAGTGAGACGGCTGTTGAGGAGCGCTCCTCTCTTGGATGCCTCTATGGTGGTGAAGGTCACCCAACATCTACAAGTTCTTCATACCGAAACCAGCTGCCAGCTGACTTTTCCGTCGTACGATGGCGGCTGCTTGGCGGTCATCGATAAGTTGAGCGTCTCTTCAGTGTAGCCGGATGATCGGCCAACACTTGAATAGGCTTCCATGAAGCCTTCTCCATCGGATGACATTGTGTATGGATTTCTGCAGAAAATGCCACAATTGCCCGGGGTACCGCATCCCAGAAGGGAACAGGTGCCTTGTGGTAGTAGAGAATATATGTGTGCAGTCCCTGGATCCATTTTGCAAGAGAGTCCAATATGCCAATAGTGGAGGAACTGAGAATGGATGTCCCTGGTCCTGTGATCTGTGGTTTATTCCTGTAAAGCGCTCTGCTGAACACCTTTTCTAATGGCTGCAGAATGAGTACTGCGTTGCCTATGATACAAGAGGGGCCTTGAGCCAAAATGACAATGGTTGTTACAAGGTCAACATGCGAAGCAAAAGCAACACAGGGGGTCCCCCACGTACCGCGCGGTAATTTGATGACGCTCCACTAAACGTAGTCTTCGGGGAGCCGGTGTCGCCAAACAGGGGTCCCAGGCTTGAACCCCCCTGCCGGCTCTTTCTCCTTTTGCAAAAAATCTGGAAAAACTCGGTGTGTTTGGACGTCCTCTTTGCGAACACGCTGGAAAAACCGTGTTTCTTGCGGGAAATGGTGGGGAGCACAGGGGCAACGCAAGGAAGTGCAAGGAAATGAGGGGAGGAAATAGGAAGTCGACACGGGAAATGAAAGGGAAACAAAGGGGAACTGAAAGGGGGGGCGCAAGGGGTATGAAAGGGAAACAAAGGACAAGGCAACCGATCGGCACGACGGGAGATGTAGGGAACTGACTCGCAACGAAAGAACTGGGCACGCTGGAAAATGAAGCGGACATACCGAGAAAATGACAGGGACATGAAGGGGGAGTTGAAAGGAATGGAAAGGGACATGACCAGGACATCATGGGAAACGTGAAAAGAACATGAAGGAGAAATCAAGAAAAAAGCCAGAAGTAAGATGACAGCTCAGGGTCATGCAGGGGCAGTGCCCGGACATCGAGGCAACTCGTCTGGGGGGGGGGCGTGGCGCTGCAATGCAGAGAGAGAGAGAGACAGAGCCAGAGTCAGCGAAAGACACAGACACAAATAAAAAGAGAGAGAGACACAGCGAGAGAGAGAGACACAGAAAGACAGAGAGAGAGAGAAAGAGCGAGAAAGAGAGAGAGAGAGAGAGGTTTAAATAAGGGCGCCCTTTTTCTGTAGAGGGGCGTGGACAGCAAGGAGACAGGGAGACAGAAAGAGACAGAGACAGAGACAAAGACAGAGACAGAGACAGAGACAGAGACAGAGAGAGAGAGAGAGAGAGAGAGAGAGAGAGAGAGAGAGAGAGATAGAGAGAGACAGAGACAGGGAGATGAGGAGAGAGAGAGGCTTGGGGGAGAGGACGACAGAACACGTGGGGGAGGAGACAAGGAGAGAGCAAGAAGGAGAAGAGGGAGAGGACAATGTCGGCGAACTGAGCCGGAGGCTCTAAAGTAAATTCAAAAAGAAAGAATAAATACAAAGAAAGAAAGAGAGTACGAGCGCAACCAAGAAAACAAGTCAAGCTCTTCTTATAGGCATTTTCTCGCTTTAGAAATTTCGGCCTACCGGCTCTACTGGTATGTGCAATTAATATTTTGATTTTCAGAAAATTAGTTCAGGTAAGATTCCTATTGCATGCGGTGCTCCTTCTAGTACTCGCCCCACCTCGGAGTCCTTGCAGAACCCTGTTAGGGAATGATATGCTCCTATATTCTCCTATAAACCGGTGGGGCCCCGGGGTCGTATTTCCCGTGCACCGCAGAGCCGCTGCAGCGGTACTCCGGCCGAATCGTCGTGTTTGCGGCGAACGGTTATGCCCATCCCGTTCCTGTCTCCGCGGGGCAGCGAGGCCCGGAAGTCCCCGAAATTTTGCCGAAATTTGAGGGGGCTTTTCGGATCCTCGCTCAGAGCTCTCGCGGCAAAACCCGGCCAAATTTTCCCGAATTTGGGGTCGCTTCCGGCGACCCGGCTCAAACATTTCTAGACGAAACCCCCGCAAATTTCTTCAGAATTTGGCGGCTTGCCCGAAAGTTTCGTATTGTCCTTCTTTCCCTGAATCTTTCTTTCTTTCTTTCCCTTTGTCTCTCTATTTTTCTCTGTTTTTTGTTTTATCTTTTTTTTTTATCTTTCCTTCTTTCCCTCTTTCTTTTTTATTTATTATTTCTTTCTGTGTTTTCTCTGATTATCTTTCTTTCTTTTTCTCTTTCTGCTTTTTCTGTTTGTTTCTGCTTTTTTATTGTTCGCTTGCTTTTTCTCTTTTTCTCTATTTTTCTTTCTCTCTGTCTTTGCTCCATTGTTCTGTCTCTTCGTCTCTGTCTTTTCGTTTTTGCTTCTTTGTCTCTTTGTCTCTTTCTTGTTGCCGTTGTTTTTATATGTGTGTTTGTTTGTTGGTTTGTTTCATTTTGTATGTTTATGTCTTTATTTCTCTTGTTGTTTGTTTTTTTCTTTGTTTCTCTTGTGTTTTCTTGTTATTTCTCTTTTGTTTGCTTTATTTTTGATTTTTCTTTCTCTCTTGTTGTTTCTCTTTTTTGTTGCTCTGTTTCTTGTGTTTCTCTTTTGTTTTTCTCTCGTTTTTGTTCTATTATTTCTTTGTCTTTCTATTTCTTGCTGTTCTCTTTCTCTCTTTTTATCTCTATGTATTTATTTTTCTCTTTTTGCTTTTTTGTTTCTTTGTTTTTCTCTACTATTTTATTATTCTGATTTTGTGTGGTTTTGTGTCTTATTTTGTGTTCTTGTTTTTATTATTTTGTGTTTGCTTTTCTTTTTCTTTTTTGTTTGTTTGTTGATTTTGTTTGTTGTGTTTTGTTTTTGGAGCTATGTAGTAGAGATAGTTTTTTTCCTATTTGTCGCTTACATGGCTTTGCGTAACATTGAAATATAATTTCTCGCTTTTTAGGGTGGAAGAAAGTCATCTAATCCTTTAAATTAAAATAATAAAAACAGAAATTCAATTACTTTAACAACTGGCAAAAATAAATTAACAACCGAAAAACAATTCATCAAACAACATAACACAATAACTAAACAAAAGCTACACTTCTTGAAAAAACCCAAAACTACATTATATACATTAGCTTTTAATACCAAAAACCAAATAGAAATAGTTAGTTAGTCGATAACTTTATGCAACAATTTGATGCGTGCAAACTTTCTCATTTGCGCTTGGGCATATGCCTAGGGCCGTTATTCAGCACCTGGCCTCCACATAGGCGCTCATGCTGCGCTTGACGCCTTCAACGCTTCCAGCTGCTCCACCCTCTGCCGCAGAAGCGCCACGCTCTCTTGCGCCTCTTGCTCGGAACCAGAAATAACCCGCCCTCATTTTTGGCATCCCCGATCTGCAGCATGCGCAAGGCCTGCTGCAACTCAGCTTGCAGTTCACGCTCTTGCTTTCGGTCCTGTTTCGAGGCGTCTGGGCGCAGGCGGACCCCAGGCTTTGCAAAAAAATAGGTGATTTGGACCTGGACAATGGCCCAATAGCACAAAGGCAATCCCAGTCAGTGTCTCGATTGATCGCTATGCTGCATACGTGTGACGCATGTGTGAGGGCCAAAGTCCTCAGCACCATGTAGGTGGTATGTCTCAGCTTCCCTCCTCTCGTCCTTCAGCTGCAGCACGCTCTCCTGCGTAACGCCAAGCTGTCAAACTCACGCGTGAAGCAGCCAAGCCAGCCGCGCGCAAACTGCTCGCTGCCCTGAACTGAACGCGCGTGTCAAAACTGAGCTGAACTCCTCCCATCTTGCCAACAGTTCCTCTTGCGCCTGCAACACATGGCAATCCTTGTTGACACAGTGCGCAAGACTGTGCATCCTCATTGGTCAAGGCTCCGCGCTCTCGCCTCCAGCTCGCGCCGGAGGTCAATCAAGGAAATGTCCAGCTCAATGGCTTTAATTTCAGCCTGACGGGCGGAAGGTCTTTTCGTCCAGTTCGGCGGGCGGCGCCAAAATGCCATAATTTACAGCATGTTCAGCAAAAGCACATGTTTGACCCCAGCACCGTGAAGATCCCCAGCATCGCTTTCAACACCCCTGGCGTCGAAGCTGGGGTGGTTTAGGGCTGGTTTAGATAGGGCTGATTTGGATGGGTTGCTTGCGCCGTGCGCCGCCAAAGACACAAGTGCGCGTTCGCGCTACTATCGAATCTCCGACATTTTCACTTCATGGAACAACGCCCTGCATAGTGGGTGCGCAGAACCTCCACCACCCTCCTTCAACACCCATTTGCTCCGGATGCTTCTCAGACCGCAACGGCTGGCGCGCGCCGTGGCGTCATCAAAGACAGGGGGCACGTCTCCCGCCCGAGCTTCCCTTGAACAATCTGGGGCTGCTGCGATATGCAATAAATTGAGCGTCTTGCGGCTGCGACTGCTGCCGGCAGCGCCGTCTGCAGGGAATGAGTTGGGACCCGCCAGCAAGACTGGTTGCGGGAATTCCTAAGCCTCAGCCTTCAAACCTTTCAGGACCGCGCGCTGTGCCCCAGTCCGCGCCACACATGGAGTGACATGGCATGTTGGCAGCGATGAGCTCCGTTCAGGCGTCCGTAAGTTTTGCAAGGTTAGGTGCAATCTTTCACAACCTTGGCTGGCTACGGGCTTCCCGTCGATTGGTCAAGGCGGTTGGTTAACGGCGGCTGCCACCAGTCCGGATGCTGCTGGAGCGTACTCCTGCATCGTTTTAACCCCTTTAAAGATGTCCTTGATCACCGCTTCCAGGAGTGATGTGATTCAGGAAATTTAGGCAATCCCCCGGACCTCTCTTCCAAATCCTGGACTGTGGCCATCCCGACCTGCTTGGCCCGTTACTGCGCCCGCGGCAGCAAACTGAATAGAGTCGGCCATGGCACGGGCAATCATCAGGGTGTGCAGCCTGCAGTGAGTTGGAACTACAAGAGCCTAAAGAGCCTAAGCAAAGCATCCTAAGCAAAGCATCCTAAGCAAAGCATCCTCTTGGACATCGCCCTACTTACTCGGCAGAGCGTGCTATCGTATGATGGACGCAGAATGAACCGCGTGCACCGCCGCCAGAAGGGGACCTCTTCGTTCTCGCAGACCCCATCCGCAAGCAATGAGTGCCAGGCACCTATCTTGTTCAGATTGCTTGCGTGTGTCATTCGCTGCGTTTCGAGCACGTCTCACTCGGCTTGGACGCCGACCGAGCCCCAGCTCCGCCACCCATGTCTGAAACTCCACCCACCCATCCAGCACCTTTGCTCTTCACCTTAGCAGGCGCCGGTGGTGCCTGAATTGCCCAATTTCTGGGCTGCGTGAATTACTTTCTCACCAAGCGAAACTCGCACTGCCCATTCCTCACCTCCCTGTTCGGTGACGTAGGTGTCACACGCAAACCCGAATGCCCAACCACAGCTCATTCTCCACATCCTTGGATGATCCAACTCTGAGCGCCTTTTCAACTGGTGGACCACTTGGCTATGCGGTGAGGAACTGGGCAGACTCCTCCTTGACGGCTAAGGGTGTCCATCTGCCCCTTCTGCGCTTGCTCGAGTTGCCCCAAGACGCCCTTCAACTCGCACAAGTCCGAACTCCAACGACTCCGCCGATTTCCACGCATGTGGGGCTGTGCGGTTGCCTTAGCATGCTGCGCCGCGCCCATGAGCGTTGGTGTTTCCGCCAACGCCTCCTGAGCATACTCCGCAACCACGTTGGATTTCCTCCGCAACCACGTTGGATTTCCAACCTAGACGCTGAACCTGCGTAATGGCTGTACCTGTCCTTATGTAGCGCAATGCCCCCGATCTCCTCGCTGAGCGGCCTGACACCTTCCTTATCAAACCACCTTCGCCACGAAGAGATCGCTGCGCCTTTGTTGCTCTCGCGCCCTTGGATGCCTTGCGCACCCATGAGCGGTTGTCCACCAACGCAAAGAGATCGGAGGTTTGCAGTTGCGCAAGGTGTGCACCGACGAAAGGGCACAAACGGGTTGCTTGGAACACACCTGGACTACAATGCATGCACCTATCTGATTAGGGGTGACCAGCTTTTTGCTGCAGGATTGTGGCATTCAGACACATGCCCGGCCTGCAAGGAACAACGTGAAGAGCCTTTGCATCTGTTCTCGTGCGAGCGTTGGTCCGCGAGCGCCGAACTTCTAGACCAGCTCCCAAACCCGGCAACTGATCCCAGATACGGCACTGATGCTTTCCTGTGCCTTGGCTTGCTTGTGTTGAACCCGGGCTCGGCGGGTTTTCTTGACACAGTCCATGGAGGCCCCGAGGCCCATGATGGATTGTGGGAGAGTGCGAGTGGGTAGTCCGCATGGCCCAGAACCTTGCCGCCAACGCAGGCTCTGTGCGCCCGCACACTGCGCACTACGACCCTTTTTCGAGAGACTGCAAGTTGCTTTGGACAAGTTAGTTGCTTCTGGCGTGATGGCCAAATATGTGTGGGTGCGAGCGCACCAAACTGCTACAAGCGATGCAATGATCGTGTTGGCAATGATCGAGCAGATTCTGCTGCAAAAGATGCTGCTTTTCAGAGCCGCTTACAATTTGGGCACGGGCATGTGATTGCTGCACGCAGCCAAGCGTGACGCACGGGTTGCTGCCCTTCGCCAATACCATAATGCCATCATCATTCAACAACGATAGCAGTTCCTCAAGCGGGCAAATCTACGACCCGTGTGAGGATGACTGCAGTTGTTGAAGATTGCAACCCTGAAGAAACTTGGCCCTCCCCAAACGTTGTTGCTCGCCGCAGGAGGATGGTTAAGCATTTCCCATGGGAGGCGCCAGACGACCTGACGCCCTATCGCATTTGTGTCCTTTCGAGGGCTGCAAGTGGCTATGCTTGGCGTTATTCGGACCCATCCGTGTATATTTTGATGGCCTGGAGTGGTCAGCAAATGCTAAGGTCAGCTTTCTGGAGCTCTTTGTCGACTGGTTTGCGTATACGGGTAGTGTTTTGACCAACCACAAGGCGGGACGCGCACAGCCCTTGTCTACCGCGGCTGACTACACAGCCAGTTTCGCAGCTGCGTTGCGAGCATTTCCTACGGTGTTGGAGGGGAAAACGGGCCCGCGTCCCGCTTGCCCGTGCCTTGTCTCCCACTTGGCCCTTTCAATATGCTTAAGCAAGCCATTGGGCTAAATATGAGACCCAGGTTCAAATGCTCGGATGCTGTTCATCAACTCCTGGCATGGTCTTGGTGTCTTCATGCAAGAAGAGCCAGCTGGCGATGGGCTTTGCCCGTAGACTTTCTTAGGCCAACTTGAGTGTAAACGCCGCAGCCACCTTCGCTCATTGAGCAGGTCCGTGCCATGTGACAGTGCAGCCACGACCAATTTCTTTTAGCAATTGACATCATAGGCCTTCGTTTGCAGAAGCTCTTTGGCCAACACATGCTGCCAATTGTGACTGTGTTTTCTTGAAGCATATGTGTGGCACGCAAATACGCGTCACCCTCTTCGATAAGCCAGGTTGTGTGGAATGTGACACTGCAGCCACGGCCCCCATTTGCCTTCTTTTTTGGCACCATAGGCCCTGGTTTACAAAAACTTTTCTTTGGCCAACATATGCTGCCAGCTGTGTCTGTGATTTTCTTAAAGCACAGAGGTGCCACGCGGTGATGATCTCCCTGTGCTGCACCACCCTTTTTCGAGAAAGCAGGTCCAGTTACTTTCGTGCTTTCGCTCGGCACTGCTGAGCCGCAACATTTTTCATGTGAACAGTGAACAGGTTCGTGTCTTGAGACAGTGCGGCCACGAACCTTCCCATGTCCTCCCTAGCACTGTGCTTTGCGTCCCTTCAGCATCAATGCGTGTTCGCCCTAGCATGAGCTTGCCATCGCCTGGCACACCTGCCGGGCCCTTTTTTGTTTGAGGTGGCTCGTGACTTGTGACAGTGCAGACACGACCTTTGTGCTCTTGTGATGGACATCATAGGCCAAAGTATGCCTGAGTGCTCCATGACCTGTGCGCGGTCACTTTGAGATGGAAAAGGAGGGAATCACGCCGGGGTCGAGTCGGGCGTTGTCTGGGTTTCTTGGTCGTGAGTTTGTCGGTTGGGTCCGGCCTGGCCCTTGTTGCTAGCCCACCCCATCGATTCGCACATCGAGGAGCTGGGATCAGATCATGATGGGGCTCCTGGCCACGGGGGCAGCGACACGGGCGTGGTGGCTATGGTGCGTTGCGCACGCCATGCGAACCCGCCCACCCACAACCTTTGTGCGTTGGTCCCCTCCGGTCACTCGTGGACACAGCGCGCGAGACATTTGGCTTTCTGCAGCAAGAGGAGGAGGCGAGGGCGAACCAGGACTTCATGCAGGGGGACTTGAGCAACCTGGCGACTCAACGGCGGAGGAGGCGCAACTCCCCACCGCCAAAGAAATGGACAGTGTCGGTGGGAAACTTCTTCCCGTTCAGGAAAGCAAAGGCAAAGCCGAAGGCCATGCTGGAGAAGAAATCACGCTGAACGTGAAGTGGAAGTCTTCGAAGAAAAAGTGGCAGATTCCCAGAAGGCGGAAACAATGGTGGAGCCCTAGGAAACTGCTGCGGAGGGCTCTGGGGAACGGCGGCGACAAGGTGGATGGTTCACCCGCTCAACAGATTAGCAGTAGCAGGCGGTGCGGCTGAGATGATTGGTAGTCACAGGAGAAGTCAGGGTCAAGGTGTTCGAAAGGGCCCAAAGCGTGCGGATGTCCTGTCCTTCACCTTTGGGTAAGCAGGCTTTGAATGCGTTCAGCGAGGGCATGAGCGCGAAGAACGCAGTGAAGGCGAAGGTGGCAAAACGTGCTGGTGTGGAAAAGTTTCGCGTGGACTGACCAACTACAGCGAGCCATGAGGCTTTGCGTTGATGAGCCGCAAAAGAGGCAGGGGGCCACGGAGGAAGGCTTGCGAGGTGCCGTTGATGGAAGCAGCGAAGGCCCTGAAACCTGTCCTAACAAGCATGCGGCCCCACACGCTATTGAGATCTTTATCTTTGCCGCTGTCTGGATGCTCGGGGAGATTGAGGTGTCTGCGTTCAGGATCAAGGACCTCACGAAGGACACACAAGGATTGTGATTATCGAGGCGGAGGGTACCTTGCGCAATCTGCAACGCGGCTGCGCGAGTGCCTATCTGGATCTGTGCCTCTGGAAGGTCACCTCAGCGCAACTCGTTCCAAGAGTTCTTAAAAATTCGCACTGGAAGACAGTGTGCCGAAGCTGCACAAGTGTGTTGTAGATGGCAGCCGAGGCTGGATCAACCCTGTGCTGGACATAGCCCGCAGTAACGAGCAAGTTAGGTTCGCGTAATTTCTGCTGCGCAGAAAAACCACCATGCAACACGATGGACCGCAGCTTGGTTGACATAGTCCATGCCGGGAATGAAGTGATTACACCGTAAACGATGCTTGGGATGACCACATCAGTCACTTGCTTGAGCTTGTCATCTTTGATGAAAGAAAGCTCTTGGGACTGCTCCTTACAGCACGCAGTCTCAAGCGCACACGACCTTTGGCGGTGTGGACTCCCCAGAGATGGGGGCACCCCACCGCCGTGGGGAATTGAAAAACTGGCACTGCCATCGGATCCATCCTTCGGATCTTCACGCCCCTCAGCGCGGCAGGCGATTCCCCCCTTTCCTTCGGCCTTGATAGCCAGGCTGCTGCCGTATTCGCAGCTCCTGGCAAATGCAGCGCCTCCACCTGCTGAACGTTCAGCTCCCCCAGCTTAAAGGCCATCTCCACGCCCAAGTACTTGAGGCCCGGTCTTCCTGCTGCCAACTTCCAGGGCCCAAAGCGACCACCGAATCTGAGTGGAGGGTGAGCTTGTCCAACCTGACGTGCAGGGCCACCAGCAGTGCCAACTTCCGCCATGCCCTGCGAGCCCGACTCCAAGCAGGGCATGCCCAACTTCTCCGCCAACGCCCTTGTAATGGGTGCCTCAAATGCCTGTCGCCCGTTGACCACCAGAACGCCTTCCGGCGTGACCAAATCCTCACTGGTTTCTCCACCATCTCCTTGATGATGCTCAGCCTCCGCACCATTTCCACCCGCTTCACTTCGAACAGGTCATGCTTTGGCTGCTTGTCCGACCGGCCCTGGCGCCTTTCCTCCTCTGCGCCATCGTGCGCATCGCGGGGCCTTTGGCGCAAGACTGCGTAGAGCACGGACACTGCCCACCTGCTCCTTGGCAGAAGCCCCGCAAGCCACGACGCTTTGCCCGCGGCCTGCAGAAGGTCTCCCAGTTCTTTGAGAGGTGAAGTCATCGACGTACACCTGATGGGCTCCCTCCACCTGTCCACGCACGATTGTAGAAGGCGAGCCGCCTGTGCTGCCAGCCGTGACCACAGTAGGGGAGCCAGAACAAATAGATTTGTTGTTGTTCAAGGCCTGGTGCCATCGTGCGCTCATGTTTTCTTCAGGGTGGACTGGCAGGTGCATGAACGCTCGAGGACAATCCTCTCCCTGGAAGCCTAAGACGCGCTGCTTCTCGTAGGCTGTTGCGGCAACGTGTTCACCACGTCCATGGGTCTCAGAAGGATCAGCCTTTTTCAGGTCTACAATGATCCGCCTCTTCTTCGTCCCGTCCTCCTTCTCCTTGATGATGAGTCCCACTTACACAGCGCGCCTTCTCCATATATGTCCAGCGCTCCCTTCTGCGTCACCTTGATGCCGCGCCCCTCCTTCTCATAGCGCTCGAGTTCTACCTTCGCTTCCTCCTTGTTATCCTCCACCGTCTTGTAGTTGACCAGCTGTTCGTTGATCAACTGCTCCGCTGCGCAGCGCAGGTCCTCATAGATGCTGTAGGTCTCGACCTGCTTGTTGATCCCTAACGGCACCCCGCTCCTTAATCATTCCCACGTGGCCACATCCGGGTCCGCTGCCTTCTCGCACCATGCCAGAAGCAGCGATGGCTTGCCCTTCGCTCCTTCTTTCCATGCCTTGGTGATATTCTTGTCCTCCTCTGCGTCCATCGTGCCTTAATTCTCTGTCACGTGGTATGCTTTAGCGCAACACGGTGGAGGGGGAGGCGAAGTACCTTGGAAGAATGAGAAACCCCGTGAACTGAAAGCTGTCCAGCAACTCCCCAATATGAGGTCGCTGGGCATCCGGATGATGGCGGCCTGGGAGTCCTTCGCGAAGAAGAACCGTCAACACAGCATCGGGGTTCTGCTGGCACGTGTTCCGCGCCCCGCTTTCTTGGTCCTTCTTTCCAGCTTTTCCCGCTTGGATGCCAACCACTTCTTCTTCTCGATGCGCCACAACTATACCATGATCATCTTGGCCAGCTCCTTGCACAGCGCCAGCGGGTAGGCAGCCGACCTTGATGACACTTCCTTGCCGATGAATTTCTCGTGCGCTGACCCCTCTGGACAGTTGCAGCCTTTCGACAGCTCCTCCAACTTCAAACGTGCCGACAAACTTCTGGGGCTTGTAGCGCCGCTCCGCCGGGTCCCGGTCCTGTTGGTATCTAAGCACACGTGTTGAACACTGCCGTTTTGAATCTGGGTTTCTTGGTCACCGCCCGGACTTCCTCCAACTCCCACGCGCTCAGGTGTTCTGGATGTCCTGATTCTGGCGGGTTCTCAAAGGGTGCTGCGTGCTCTGGGCGCTGACCACCCAGCGCCCCTCCGGGTCGAGGAAGTAGGTCTCGTCCGAGAGCTGCAGGATCGGGGCGGCCGGGTCCTCAACTTGCTGCTTGACCCGCTGCGCCACCTGCTCCTCCGTCAGGTGCGCGGGGTGCCTCGTTATGGCCCCGTCCAGCTCGTTCACCGGCAGGCAGTCCCTGCCCTCGTAGCCCGCCCCCGATGACCAGTGGGCAGTGGGGGCAAGAGATTGCCCTTTCTAGCCTCCGCAGTGAGATGCCCGCCAACACCGACCGCGGCGAACACTGTGCCCAGGTCAGCTTCCCGTTGATGGAAAATGCTACTGCGCGGGAAGCCATAGGGATATGCCTTGGATCGAACGGGCCCTGGCATGTTCAGGCTGGGCCTCCATCTTAACCTTTAAAAAAAAAAGTGCAGGGCCAACGGGCATGGCAACCATCATGTAGCCCAGCTCTCAATTGCGCGTCCCCATCTCCTGGGCCACCTCTGCTAAAGCCGCTCCCAACTTGTCCTCCTTACCCGAGAAATGATGAAGAAACTTGAAGACTCTTTCGGACAGGTGGGATTTAAACTCCTGCCCCCACCCCGTTGGATCCTTCCCTCTTGACGGCCCCTTTGAGCCTGATGCGGGATCGCTTTGCCACTGACACCTGCGCCCATCATTTTCACACCTAACACAAACAGGAGAAGATCAAACAGTTTGCCACCAACCTTCATTTCCGGGCGCAGTCTGCCGAAGGGTGTCTCGGGGAGAAACAAACCGTGCACTTGTGGGTCCTCTTCACCTTCCCCACGCACTCCATGCCAGGTGCCCAGCCAGTGTTCTTTTCTTTGCTGGCACCCTTCTGCTGGTTCTTCTGCAGGTGTTCCGACTTCTCCACACTCCTTTTCCTTTTCTGTGCATCCCGCTTGTCCCTGTTTGATCTCCTCCTCCTGCCACGATCGCCCTCCGTTGCCGCCGTGAAGTTCTCCTCTGCTCCAGGAACCTTCTTGGCAGTGAACTGCTCCCGTGGTACTCCTTTCCCTCCATGCGCAAGCCACGCGAGAGCCGGGTTTTGATACCTGCTGCATCCAGTATCGTTTATCGTGAATCAGGGTTTTGAAGCAGGCCTCCCCGCCATGGGACATCTGTCCCAACCGTCTGGCGGGGACTCCCCTGGAGCTGCTCTCACCGCGACTCTCGCCTTGATGCGCGCCATGTGTTCTGCCGGGCTTTGTCCTCTGCAGAGACTACTAGGTGCCATGCGTCCGGGTATTGCCTGCACATGCGCTCGATGAGGTTCTCGTAGGCCTGCAACGTCCCTAAGCAGACATAATTCAGCACAACCATCGTGACTTTGTAAACCCTGTAGCACGCCAACCACCACTGGTCCGAGGGCCCACTCAGCTCCTTGGTCCCATCCTCGTGGGTATCCAGGAACGGAACCTCAGTGACTTTCAAGCAAACGGGCCGGCAGCTTCAGCTGTTCTACCCTTCTCTGCATGGCGTAGAGCTGTTCCCCCGTCGGCTCCTCGCTCGCCCTGATCTATGATCAGGTTCATTTTGAGCTTCCTCTCGATGCTCGGAGATGGAGCACTTGATACTTGACATGGCAGCCCCCTTGCCGTACTGGAAGATGCCCGACCTGGTTGTTTTTAAGGGTCGGGATCCTGCCAATCGTCTCAGTTTCAAACCCACCTGAGTCGCTTCCACAACCTTCAGTGCCCCAACTGCCGTTGAAGCCTCTTCGCAACTGTATGCCACGACCGCAGGCGGGATGGCCGCCAGCACCCTCAGGTCGTCGCCCACGTCCCCCACCACATTGGTGAATGCCGCCCCAAGCTCCCGCGGAACCCGGAACGTCAGGACCTCCGTGACGGCGGTCAAAGCCAACGCTCGGCACAACGCCATGATTTCCCCTGGGTCTTGAGCCAAAATGGCATATGGCGCAGGGTCCACCTCCCTCAACACTCATTGTGTCTCGCGCCACACTATCGTGGCCTCAAGTGTGCCTTCAATACAAGTAGTGAAAGTGTGCACTAAGCAACTTGCTTCAGGATTGCAACAAGCCAATCAAACAAGAAGGGGGCCCCCATGCGAATTACGCTTCCAACAGCACCAGCACCTTCATCGCAACATATTGCCCGTCATTCTGCGATGCTAGGTGTGAAAGTCAGAGTTCTGCAAATCGATGTGGAAATGCCGGCCTCAAGCTGTTTCTCCTCTGCAGACTGCTCCACGTCCTCGTCATCTTCAGACATGGCCGCGCAGGATCTTGAGGCTGTGTTCAACTGTGTTCAGCACACTTCTTTCACTTGTTAGCGGCCTAAAGTTTGTCGCAAGCGGCAGTATGTGGTTGAAGTCACAATGGGTGGTGGTGGTGGTGGTGGTCGCTGCATAGGTAGGTGTTTTGTGGCATTTGCCGTGGAACCGTGAAACAAGCCTGGAAAGTGTCGACCCTTTTGCGAATGCTGCCGCGCCCTGATTGCAAATGTGCCAATGCGCGTCCCTAGGACACAGTAAGCCATGGGCTTTCGCAGGATGCATATTGGCTGGTGCAGTGCCGTGCGTGCAAAGCAGGGCATGATGTGCTACTGCACTATCTCTACTGTACTTTGGCTTGCACCTGGGCTGGGGTTTCCCTCCAGGATGGGCTTTGTGATAGTTACCCGTATTTCAGATCATCAAAAGCGTTTGTTGCACTGTGCCCCAGCCAAATGCCAGCCATGTGGACCAACTGCATTTACCAGCTGCCCGACATGGCTGGTGTGCCTGGGCATGAGCTTGATGGGACTTTGCCACCTGTTGAGCAATGCCGGAAAACACGCCGTTTGATGTAACTTTTTGGCAACAGTGCAGAAGCCCCAAACCTGGCATGACACAGGTCGTTGCTGCTCACTCTTGGAGAGTGTGTCGCAATACCTCGGATGAACTCGGGCTCGCAAAGCTACGTTCCATGCACACTGCACTTTTGTGTTTCGACCCTCTGAATGAACGGCATGTGTGGCGCATGAGATGCTACTGTACTGCCTTTGAGGGCCCCTAATTAACTACCAGCCTGAACAATATCAGATTGTCAATTGTGCCGCATAGCTGCTGCTTGGAGCCAGTTGCCCGATGTCTCACGCTCATTGTGCGCAGGACGCCATTGTGCCTGCGGTGGCCAAAGCTGATGTTCCGCCATGGGCATGCCTTTTTCCCATTGTATTGAACAGATGTTTATTTGGTCCAGGCATGTGCCGGCTTATTGAACCACTTACCCACTTAGCAAGTCCTTTGATACTGCTTTGCGCGCTGCTAGCATTGAATTTGTTCAGGCACATGTTGACGACTCAGACCCGGGGTTTAGCCTGGGGATAGCGATGAGGGGTCGGATTAGTTCTCGTAGGTTATTCTGAAGCCTCCACGTTAGCCTGGGAAAATGTGATGAGTTCTGGGCCGCTTCCTGGATAGGCGTGATTTTGGGATTATTGCAGGTAACCACATATTTTTTGGCTCACCCGAAAGTCATTCAAGGTTGCTTCTAATTTGCTTAGCGTGTTGCCGCCGCTCTCCGGAAGTGCTGCGGGCTTCCTTTCAGGCTCGTGTCAGGAAGCTTTTGTGGGTCGAACAACGCGTTTTCGCTCACAGTGCCCGCTTAACATGGAAGGCTCTCCCTGTGATAGCTATAGTTTGCTTTTTCAGGGGGAGTGAATGGATAAATTCCAATGTTAGGGGCCGTTGCGCGCATTGCTGGTGAGAGTTGCGATCTCTGGATTGTTTGTCCTTAGAGGGAGCTTCCATAGACTCTGAGAGCCACTAGCCACTGGCCGCCTCTAGAGCCGGCACTTCTAATGTGATTTGCCGCAGGCTTGTCTTGCGGCGCCCCATAGCGAGTTGAGCTGTCCGACTGCAGGCCTGCAGCTCATCATTGGGCTGTGAGATGCTTGAAGCAATTGTCCAAAGCCCCCAAGACAGGAGAACACAGCAGCTACCCACTCAGTCACTCAACCACTCAGCCAGCTAGCCACTTTGCTCTCTCAGCCAGTAAGCCCCGTAGCCATTTAGCGACTCAGAAGAGTGGCGAAGTGTCTTCCTTTCAAATCTCCAACGTGCGCCCCCACATATCCCGGGTCTGTTCTTACGAGATTTAGCAATTCACAAATGTACCTTCCGAGCCGAAAAGGTCCGACTCAGCATAAGTCCCTGCTTTCACGCCCATTGCCGAGTTTGGCTAAATGCATGCCCGCCTCTAGGAGACCATCGGCTCTCACTTGAGCGAAGCAGGCCTGGTCGCAGTGAAGCTCGGAGGCCTGGACCTCTGGACCCACCCGCCTCAGGAGCCTCGCCCGCCGCAAAGCGATAGATACCTAGGGCTATGGTACCGGCTGGGACGACTTGCCTTGAACCAGTGAACCAGAAACTTTGAAGCCTTTTGAAACTTTTGAAGCCAAGGCCCTGGCACTTTGGATCTGACAGGTGGTAGCGAACCTGGCTTGCGAAGTGTCTGAAGGACTGAGGACTGCAAATTGGAGCACCGTTCAATGTCAGCCCAAGACAAGAAGCGCTGAAACCGGCATGATTGCTCACATTGCTCTGTGTCTGGCCTTCGGCTGACGCCCGTCTTCGAAGTCTTTGCGATCATTCCAGTACGTGAACCTTGAGGCGATGCCGGAGAAAGGAGAGCAAGAAACGTACAAAAACAACAGAAATTTGAAAGCTGGTTCAGAAACATAACTTTAGGGGGCCGGACACCCTCAGACATGTCCCCTGATCTCACTGCCAAGCTTGAGTTCCAGCTTACTTTAGACGCAAAGGATTGGGCTTGCTGCATTTCCCACACCCAATGGGACTGCACAATGACCCTGCTTTGCCTCCTGCTTTGTGTCAAGCAGCTGATGGTTGTCAAGTACCACCCACTTCAAGGACCAGTGATGAAAGGCACCTGCAAACAGGCTGTGACTCATTGCCTCTCGCGGCAAGACACGGGACCAAAAGCTGGATATGACATTCGGTGAGCCTTTGGATCGCTTCTCCAGCGCCCCTTCCTTCCGTTGTGGCGGTGGCAGGTGTTCTCCCTCAGCATCCCGAGTTTGTGACCACCCCTGTTGTTGCAAAATTAAAAACAAACCCAGGGAGACAGCCATGTTGGCGCTTTCACGCGCATAAACTTATGTAAGCACTGCGCTGGGCCGCTGACTGTAGGAGAGTTGATGGTCTTGGGGACCCAGCGCTGTGTCATGGGGACCCGCTCTGGGTCCCAGGCAGGCCTGACTGTGTATGCCGAAGAAAGGCAGTGCCAGGAATTGGATAGATCATAAGTCAGCCCTTTCCACTACTAATAAATGCACCCTATAAATAAACATTGTGTTTGCTAGGCCCCCAACACTCCTGGAGGACTCTTTGATACACAGTTTTTGGAATTCGAGCACTTTTTCCTGCTCAAATCCAATTCGAGCACTTTCTTGAGGTTGTTTCCACAACTCGGGCGCAATTCGAAAAAAGCAAAGCTCTGCCCTGCAACCCGTGTGTTTGCATTTACCACTACCTGCCGATGTCGCACCAATCCCGACATCTGTCTAATTAGGTGTTGTTCCAGCACATTGTTGTGTATTTCTAAATCCAAATTGCGCCTCTCTTACTTTTTTCATTTAAAAACACTTTAACGGTTGAAAGGTTTTGTTTAAACTCGTTACTCGGAAGATTGCGATTTTGGCAGTTCTCGTGTCCTCAAAGCGGGGGGGGAGGGGGGAGGACCGAAAAGGAAATCCGGTCGACCCCTAATTACCCTATTAATAAACTGTGTTTACTGCAAATAAATATGTATTCATTGGTTTGGGGGGGTATTCTTGCAGGGCGAAGGGACTAATGATGAGGACACCTTTGACGCGTGCGCTCCAAACCCGGCATGCCATCAGGTTGTGCCTTGCTTGGACTTCTGCTTTCAGGCACGAAACTGCTTGCTTCCCTGCGCTTCTGCTAAGGTCAGCACCAGAAGCGTAAAAGAAGCTCAGCAGGTGAAGCACCATCAATGGAATTCAAGCCTCCCACTCCCTCACCCAGTTCTGATTGTTTGCACACTTGAAGGGGGTCATCATTGCACTGCACAAAGCTGCTGTTCATCGTGAACGAGTCTTGAATGGTCTAGGCGCGAGGCTTACGCGAAAGGGCTGGCTTGGACGAATGCGACAGGTGAAGCCATCCAAAGTTGCCAGCTCCTGCAGCCGAGTGGTCACGCACAAGCCCCGAAGTTGCAGGAGCAGCTGCTGGTCCCACCATAACGCAACTGGAGATTCACCCTTGTAACACTCAGGACCAACGGGAATCTCCCAAGAGCAGCACGCCAAGCGCTCACTAGCTTTTAGCCCTGGCCTTGGGCTCTCGCATCAGCTTGGCCACTTGCTGCAGCACAGAACTCCCGTGGGGAGCCCGTGGCAGCACCGCCCGGTACACCGGCTTCGGTCGCGTCGGGTCACCTGAAAGAGAGCGCTGGGCAGAGCGCATCTGGACATTTGTTGTCTGTTCTTCTTCTGGGTTGTCCCCAGCGACAGGAACGCTTCTGAGCGTGGCCGACACAAACGTAGTTTAGCATGAGGGGGTGGACAAGGGGGACGCAGTCAGGGGCTGTTTGGCCTGAAGGCGCGCCTAACGACTAGTTCCACCCAACGGTTGGCTAAAATCAACAAGTCCAGATTTCACCGCATACGCTTGCCTACGCGTGGGTCCAAAAGAAATCTGTTGATAAATCCACTTCTTGCCAACACCGTTTGGGAACAGTAAATCTTGCTCAATGAATGATTCTATCAATTATTTCGACCCATATCATTTGATAGCATCAAACAGTGTGGATTCAGCCAATACACCTGCTAAAGTTAGCTTCGGTATATTATAGCAAGCGTTGTCTTCGGGCTTAGATGCTCTCTAAAATAGTTTGGCTGTAAGGACCGCAAAATGGTTTTGGATGGTTTTGCTGGCATTTGGGCGTAAACATGTCGGCAGTTCTCTACAGCAAGTACGTATCCCGGCCTGACAAAGCGCAGTCCTGCACCTCAATCAGAATATCCTTGGGTTGCCAGCCAGGTAGGCCAAAAGAAACTGGGTCTGAAAATCATCACCGAGGCCTAGAGTTTGCCACAGCGTGCCAGCACCAACGCAAAGCAGCACATTTTACGAATATTGCACAACGTTAAGTAAGGACTTTCAAAGTCAAGCACTTCAACTCTTCTGGTTCGGCCCGTGCCCTCCCGAAGTAAGCACGGATCTAACCCTGTCTTCTTGAGACATTGCCAGTTCACGCAGAAGCGCGGCATTGCTCGTGAAAAACCGCATGGTAATGCCAAAGGGCCGACTCCATGAGCGTTTGCGTCGGCACCCACTTCACCTGGCCGCAGCACATCACCCACTGCAATCGGACTACACAAAAGGTTCGGCGAAGATCAAAGTCCCTGCAATCTTGAGTGGAGTTATGGCGTGCAAAACATGCAAGCCATTGGGAAGTTGTTCGGTCCGTACACCGTAAGTATCATGTCTAACGTGACATGACAGTGCGGCCAAAACGGCTTCTGCTAGCCCAAATTGTAGCAGCCCGTCCCACAGCGTCCGTGTGGAAAGTGTGCTCCCCGACACCCACTCATGATGCGCATCTTCAACATATGAAGTAACATATTGTTAGAAATGCTGCTTTCAGCACATTGTAGCACACGGCCAATGTTCGCACAAACTGCAACCTCTGGGAGAAATGTTGAGACTCATTGCAGTAAAGCCGCCGGGACAGGCTACGGTAAATTTCACCTGCTATTCCCCCACATCAAGCACAACCTCACACATACAAAAACACCACTCTGAATGATTCGACTAGCTTGGACTGATGTGAGCAATCGCTGCGAACTGTGCCACCCTATGAACTTAAGCGCATTCTGTGAGCGTGGCCTGCCCAGCACTCTGCTACCCCATTCCAATTAGCAATGCTCAGCAGCAAGCTCAGCCATAGAAACATGCAAATCCTATCCAGCTGTGAGCCGCTAGAACCATGTCTGCATGTTGCAATGCTGTCGCTGCGTCACCGCGCCTCATTGAAGACGACGGAGCCATCCTTGGCTAGGCGGCCCAGCTTAGAGGCTTTGGCCCAGGTGCCTGGCGGGATACTACGAGGCATCTCTCTCTCTGCCCGCTTCCCTGCCCCTCGCCCAACATTGTCAATGGATGTCAATGGCAGGTCCCCTCTGACACAAGTTCCAGGTTCCTCTGCGGCACGGTTGGTTGTAGGCAGCCAAGTGCCGACATACTCCCACTGAAAAACCGACGCTGACTCAGAGTTCCTGAAGGGTAGCTGGATAGATGGATTAGATTAGATAGAGAGGTAGATAAAGAAATGACAAATAGATAAAAGGAGAGATGAAACAGATACATAGATAGAAAGAGAGATTAGATAGATACGTAGAAAGAGAGATTATATAGATATAGAGAGACTAGATAAATACTTAGATAGAAAGATACATTAGATAAATAGAGAGATGAGATAGATACACAGAAAGAACCAGGGGTTAGATAGATAAATAAGATAGACGAATTAGATAGATAGATGGATAGATAGATAGATAGATGGATGGATGGATGGACGGATGATAGATAGAAACATCGGGGAAACAGTCTCCAACTCCTTAAGCCACGGCTGTAGTGAACACAAGCCCCTTTCCGCCTGTGGACACCGTGGACAACTCCACACGGTAGGTGGCACCCCGAAGTCGTTGGCTCAAAGCCGCGGAGACGCCCGTGAAGCCTCACCGCGCCAGACTGGTAAGTTGGCAAAAGAGAGCCCACCCCGCACATAGAGCCCTCCGACGAACGGCTGAACAGTTATAAGTTAAAAATAGCTAAATATCCTTTGCAAGGTCTTGACTGTCCTGGCTGGCCCTTCCTTCAGTCCATTGCCCAGCAGCTCTCCAAATTCAGGAATTGCAAGCTTTCCACATAAACCTTGGCAATAATGCAGCGACTGAGCGGCAAGCAGCACTTGCTATGTTATGTGAATTGCTGCTCGGCCATGTGCACGCAAGCTGCTTGCAAACCAACTGCGCATCTACTCCTCTGCTCCCTATGATGTTCGCACGGCGTGAGTCTGTCCTTGCTGCTTGGTAGCCGTGATGCGGGGCGAAAACCTTGGATCTTGCCACAACACAAATCTGCAAGCCCGGCGACAGCAGTGGCTCGAAATGCTTGAACATTGGTTTGCAAGCAAAAGCTTGTCAGCTTGCCGAGTCACTTGCAACCAAACAAGGGTGGTTTCAGACTTGATATGCCAATGTTCAATATACGTTGTTTGCTCCATCAAAACGAAGTCAGTCATGGGCGCGATTAATTCATGACAGCCATCTGGTCTGGAATCAACACCTTGCGCCAAAGAGAACTACTCAACTGTTGGATTCTTGTGGCATCATCGAAATACCCAATGCCCCAAAAGCTCAAAACGCACCAAACGCACCGAACTCACTGCCACAGCGCTCTGCGCCCACCAGCGGCAGCAGCTTTGAGCCCTTGGGCAGTGGCCGCGAGGCACGCCGCGGTACAATCCTCGGAAGCCGTTTGCAAGTGGCAACATGAAGAAAAAACCGTGTGGAGGCATCCATGCACACGCGAATGGCCATCCACTAGCCAAGCATGGGTCCTCCTTCCGTGCTCAGTAGCAGCCAAAGACTTTACTTTAACTTATCTCTCGCCCAAGTTGGACCAAAAGTGCGTCTCTTTCAAACGACCAAACCATTTCCTCCCACCATTCAGCCCACGCATCTGCTCCCAGTGGTCCCACAGTCTAGTTGTCGCATCCACGCCTTCAGCCTTAGCTGACACGTCAACGCGAGATTGAAAACATGATGTATACAAGGTTTGGGCTGGTCTGAACGTGAGGCTTTCGGGTTTACATTTTACCAAAAGGGAACCTCCCTATTTGAAGAGTCACACGCATATATGAAACACCCCCACGCGCGAACGCAGCCACAAACACACACACACACACACACACACACACACACTTAAACTCCCGAAGGAGGTTGCTCATCTTCGAGTACAACTTTCGAGTACAACTTTCGGCTTGCAAGACACTTGGCTTTCCGGTAGAATCGAAACCGCTACAGAATCAACAAGCAGCACTTACAGCGAGAGAAACAGCGGGCCAAAAGGACATTGTATCACTCGCAGGTACACAGAGCTGATCAGGCTCTGCTTCCCGTGCAATCAGGTAGCTTCGTTGGACGTGGTTCCTGATTGCACGCCACGTCCCCCTGCTATGACTTCTGAACTGATTCCAGGGTAGATCTGGAACTCGGCACACACACGCCCCCGTACGGGCGAAGACCCCAACAAAAAACGAAACAGGGCAAGCGAAAACAAAAGAAAACAGAAAGGCCCCAAGTTGGGAATCCGCGGGCAAAACCCCAAACAAGAAACAAGAAAAACAAGGGAACCAGGTTTAGGGTCACCGACGAGGGCAACAACCCTAAACAGCGCAAAAGACCGACCTAAACCTCGAAGACGACGAACGCCGCGAAAGGTGAACAGCCAGAAGAAGAGCAGGCCATCCCTAAACGGGCGAAGAGGAAGAGCACGAGGTAGCACGAAGAAAAAGGAAAGAGAGAAAAGGAGAGAGAGAGAGAAGAAAGAAAATAAAAGACAAGAAAAGAAAAGAAAAGAGAGAACGAAAAGGAGAGAGAAAAGAGACGAAAGAAAACCGAAAACTAGGGAACAAAGAAAAGAGAAAGAGAGCAAGAGAGCAAGAGAGCAAGATTGCGTATTTAGGGCGTCGCAACCCGCCCGAGAGAGAAGAAGAGGACGGGAGAGAAGAGGAGGAAGAAGGGGAGGAGGAAGAAGAAGAGGAAGAAGGAAGATGTGCGTATTTAGGGCGACGCATCCCGCCCAGAAAACAAGGAGGAAAAGGACCGCAACTCGAAGAAGAGGACAACGAACCCCGCACAGGGGCCTAGAGAAAGTACACCTGCAGCCAACGGAAGACGAAGAAGACGACAAGCCAAACTGCGTGAGGGGAACGAGGAGCGCGAGCAAGAAGTCAGACTGGAAGAGGACGACGAGGAAAAAGGCAAACAGCCAGAAGACGGAGAAGCCATCCCTAAGCGGGCCAAGAGGAAGAAGACCAACACGCGGGTGACGAAAGGCACGAAAAAGAGACCGGGGGGAAGCAGAAGCCATCCCTAAACGGCGACGGACAAGCGGATGACGGGGGCGACGTTGGAGCAACCACAAGAACAAACACAAGAAAAATGGTTGACGCAGTATTCCCTTTAGCGAAACCTCATTTCTGCTTAAAGTGAAGTTCGCCGTCCCGGAGCCACACGATGGGTGCATCCGAGGGTCCCCCAAAACGGGGTGAACAGACTTAAACTCCCGAAGGAGGTTGCTCATCTTCGAGTACAACTTTCGAGTACAACTTTCGGCTTGCAAGACACTTGGCTTTCCGGTAGAATCGAAACCGCTACAGAATCAACAAGCAGCACTTACAGCGAGAGAAACAGCGGGCCAAAAGGACATTGTATCACTCGCAGGTACACAGAGCTGATCAGGCTCTGCTTCCCGTGCAATCAGGTAGCTTCGTTGGACGTGGTTCCTAATTGCACGCCACGTCCCCCTGCTATGACTTCTGAAACGGATCCAGGGTAGATCTGGAACTCGGCACACACGCACACACACTTAAACACACACACGCCCGCGCGCCCGCGCGCCCGCCCGCCCGACCATGGTTTGTCCATGCCTCATTTTCTTTCGAAATCGATTACACAATCAACAAACAACGCGCGATCAGACTCTGTGGAGCTGTGGCTAAGAAGTGAACAAGCATGCACGGGCATGCGAGGGACAAGCCAACTGACACAGCATGGTGACGGCGTGTGATTACAGCGGGATGAAGCGGCTGTAACACATACTTAGCAATTTCAGAAAAGGCAACAACAAAGTTCTTCAACCTCTCGCTGCACAGAAGCGAGGGGATGTCAGGAGCCAGCCGTCTCAAGTTGGCCAAGCTTGTCTAGACCTACTTTTAATGGTCGAGGGACATTACTTTTATAGCCTTTGGTTTGTTTAATGGTCGAGGCTATTTAAAGAATAGTCGATCAAGCATAGGGCACACACACAAACACGCACACACGCACACACGCACACACGCACACACGCACACACGCACACACACGCACACGCACACCCACACACACACACACACACGCGCGCGCACACGCACGCGCACGCGCACACGCACACGCACACGCACACGCACACGCACACGCGCCCACACGCACACTTGGACACGCGGACACACGCACACGCGCACGCGCAGTCGCACAGGCGCACAGGCACACGAGCGCACGAGCACACGCATACACGCACACGGACACACAGACACACAGACACACAAACAGACAGACAGACAGACAGACAGACAAACAGACAGACGGACGGACGGACGGACGGACGGACGGACGGACGGACGGACGCGCGGACGCACGGACGCACGGACGCACGGACGCACGGACATGGACGCACGGACGAAAGGACGTGGACGCACGGACGTGGACGCACGGACGCACGCACGGACACACGGACGGACGCACGGACGAACGCGCGGACGGACGGACGCACGGACGCACGGACGGACGGACGCACGGACGGACGCACGGACGCACGGACGGACGCACGGGCGCACGGACGGACGCACGGACGCATGGACGCCCGCACGGACGAACGGACGCACGGACGGACGGAGACGGCACCGCCACGCACCGCACCGCACCGCACGGCAGAACGGCACGGCACCTCACGGCGCGGCGCGGCACGGCACGGCGCGGCGCGGCACGGCGCGGCGCGGGCACGGCGCGGCGCGGCGCGGCACGGCACGGCGCGCACACGCACAGGCACACGCAAGCACCCACGCACCCACGCACCCACGCGCACACGCACACGCGCACACCCACACACGCGCACACGCACACACACACACACACACGGACACAGACACACGGACACCCGCACGCCCGCACACCCGCACACGCGCAGATGCCCGCGCACACGCACACGCACACGCACACGCACACGCACACGCACACGCACACGCACACGCACACGCACACACACACACACACACACACGCACACCCACACCCACACCCACACACACACACACACACCCACCCACCCACCCACCCACCCACGCACGCACGCACGCACTCACGCACGCACGCACGCACGCACACACGCCTCACGCACGCACGCACGCACGCACACACGCCTGCACGCACGCTTGCACGCACGCTTGCACGCACGCTTGCACGCACGCTTGCACGCACGCACGCACGCACGCACGCGCGCGCACACGCGCACGTACCCGCGCACGCATGCGCCTGGACTCATACAGGCACCCACGCAAACACCTGCCAGCCGAGCAGCAATGTGCTGAACTCCGTGCATCAAGCCGCTCACCGGCTTGGCCACAACGCCACGCATGCCCTTCAGCAGGCCTTGACCCAGGCCAACCACACCTGCTTCGAGGGAGGGCAAGCAAGCTTCCCAGCATTGGCTGTAAAGTTTATGCTTAGACTCGCACACTGCAGACCACTGAACACTAATTCCGCATACTACGCACTAGCGCTGGCACTTTCAATGTCCACCTGCCATGGCCTTGATGATTCAGCTGGCAGCAACCGCATGGAAGCCCTCACATCTCTTGCCAAGAGAGCGCGTGCACATGCCTGGCCTTTGCGTTGGAAGCCCTGCACTGGCGCTTGGACCAAGCCAGCAATGCCAGAAGCAGTGTTGTGAATAAAGACCTGCCAGGAAAGCACAAAAGCGGTGCACTTCTCCAGTTCTGAAGCAAATCGCTGACAAGTGGATTGCGCAGCAACAAATCACAGGCTACCGTCCGAAACCCAAACCCAGCCGACACATACACACACAGTTACATCCCCTCAAGAGTCCAAGCAGCATCCCGCGAAGAATGTAACATTGCACTTCTGTCTGCATTGTGTTGAGTCGTGCTATGCTGAATCACGCTTTCTTGCTCGGCCCCTGTGGCTTGCTGCAAACAACGACTTCGCAGCCCGTGTTTTGCCTGAGCACCTGCTGTGAT